TTTTTTTTCAAAATTGAAATTTGGTCAGATTTTGTTTTGGTATTCCAAAATATCCTTAAAAATACAATTGTATCTTTAATCTTTACTGCGTGTGTGCGTCCATACAATGTAGAGCTGTAAACGTTATCTCAGTGATTTAATATTACGCCATATCACCATTATAATTAAATTTGTTGTTTGGCTTAAACTATATAAATTAAAACATATGTGTAACTAATGCAATTAAAACAGATAATTTGTATCTACTGTTATAGCGAACTTCATCGATTACATTTATAATTGATTATAATTTATTTACTGATAAGCTTTATAGTTTTTATTAGTTCTAGATTACGAAATGTATGTTTTTGGTGGCTATAGAAAATAATTTGTTGTGTAAAAACACCATCATGACATTATACTGGCAAGTTATTGAAGCAAGTGTATTTAGATTCCAGGCATAAAATGTCATTATTAAATTAATTTGTTCCTATGGATGTTGTTCTCTTTTGATGTTATATACTTATACCCATGTTAATTTGGTCAATAGTTATATACCTACCTTATCGAGCTTAGTTAAGATTTATTGTACGTTTTCAGAAAATGTGCGTAAAGTCGCCTCTAACGACACTAGACTCCGGTGACTTTATATGATATAATATTATATAAAGGTATCATTCAAGTTTTCATATTATATTCGGCATTTTGTGTATATTACAGTATACACTGAACAAACTTAATTTAGGCAAATATTTAAAATTTTGTTTGAAACTTATCAAACTTATCATTTTTGATTACCTGACGACTGACAATATTTCATTTAAAAAATAAATACATTTTTGTATGTCATTTCGGCATAATTGGGTGAACACATAGTTGTCACACCTAGGTATTTGTTAACGTGTCTGGCCACTCTAGCAATGCCAAACTTACGAATTTAAGTTATCATTCATATAAATTATAAGAGACTTCTTTTAAAAAATGCTTGCGAAATAGTTCTAAACACTCATTTGGATGAACATGACGTAGTTTATCTACCAGTAGTAGTCTACCTGTAATATACTGATTTATACATTTTCAAATTAAAATAAACATATTCAGAGTTCAGACTATCAGACTACAGCGCATTATACACGGCATGCACTGTAATAAAACCTACTACATAATATTACATATGAAATGTGTAACTGTGTAACAATAAATACAAATGATTGGGTACCATACATATTTCAATTAAAATTATCTTTTTTAAACACACACATTTTATAAATGTATATCCATCATTGGTTTAGTATAGTTTGAAAATAATTTAATCGTTTGTATGTATTTTGTCGTGAAAAGACTGACAGCAAGCTGGCGGTTTTATTTGCTTCAAACAATTGACAGCAATATTTTAATATTTCCAATAATTATGTTATTTTTAGCTTTTTACAAATAAAATAGTTTCATTTTACGGGTAGGGATTGTAACACTTGACACTTATATCTAATGAATATCACATTTTTCTAACTAAATGTTGTTCAGTTTGTATAGGACCTCCCACCGTGCAAAATCATGTTACTGAGCTGTATCGCTTCACGTATATACATTATACCTAGTACCAATATACCTAGTCTATTATACGCAATTAAAATAGTTTATACGTTACCTACTGCTACACACTTGTATACTTGACATTTTGACAGTTGTAAAATAACGAATTACTTACTATACATTTTTACCCATATTTAATGATTTTAAAGTATTAATGCTAAATAATTAAAATGGAAGACCTAGTTCATCTAACAAATTGCAAACATTTCAATTACTCCTCACGTCGTCATCATACAGGTATATAGCTTCACTATCGAATTGCATGAAGTATTCAAAATTAAATTGTTTTATTTTAATTTAAAATTATAATAATAGTATTACATTAATTATGGATTTAAATAGTTCAAAACTTAGGTATTACAAATTGATTTTTTTCTAAAAATTTAAACTCACCAATAAATTCATTAAAAATATGTATTTTATTATTTTTTTTTTTATATTATAATAGTTTTAAACAGTTACGTGGTAAGTATAACAGTACCTACTACCTACCTACATTAATTAAGCGTTACGATTTCACTATTTTCTATTCGAAGATCTTTGACCTACATCGATAGTACCTATATTTATATAATATACCTACCTATTCACATAATTTTATTGTAAATATTTATATTTTTATACCTTTTGTTTTATTTCATTGCAATAAAAATACATAACTCATTTACGTATGGTATATTGTTCAAAAATTCAATTTTAGTTTAAATAGGGTGTGCGGTGTACCCATTAGAGCTCATGCACTCCGACTTTAAAAGTGGATTAAATTACCTATTGCTTGTTTAATTCTAAGTATTATTCAAATGAAATAGATCTAGTGGTAGATCCTGGATTGACACCAAATTTCAATTTCAGGAATTCAAACCATATTATGATATTTTTATATTATATTTTAGGGACAATGATGTGTGTTTTTATTTTTGTGTATGTGTGCATGATAAGTAGTAATAGAAGTCGAAATAAAGCTTCAATTTTCAATTTCAGTATCTTTTAAGATGGGAAAAGATTCTAGTTATTTTGTTGTAATTTAAAAATACTTTTCGTGAGTAGATACCTACTGGAAACTTTTAGAGTAGGTATATTATATTTTATACGCACAATGACATTTTCAAGTACAATTTTTCGACAAAATGAATTTAATATAGTGTAGAACTAGAACAGTATAACTATTAACTAATGGCTAATAGTAAAAATGTAAAATAAATTACTTTACTCACAATAATATCATAAAATATACCTATTTAGTAATATAATAGGCTGACAGACCGTCTTCGCTCAGAATCGTTTTTCGTATGCAATGATATTTTATCATTGAATTCAATTATGAAACATCCATTAAAGTGACCCCAGACACCTAATTTACGGCAGAGCCTTTCCCACTTACCAATTTTTATATAGCTTTTGTGTAATTATATAATAATATAATAGTATAATACAATGTATAGAATGAGGGATATATTTTTAATGTACCTATTATACTTGGTGTACAAATTCCATGTTTTATGTATTGTATTTTACTGTTAACTACTAATTAATGTTGTAGATTTTTACAATAGTTGTTGTATAATAAAGTTAAACAAATCGTCTTTGAGTATTACCTACGTACTTCCACGTTAGAAATAGGCAATGAATATTGGGTCTATGAACATTGGGTATGGGCAAAGCTTCATCGGGTTACATTTTACTAAAATTTATTTAAGGAAGGGCTACACCCCTCCCCCCCTCCCCACACACACACACACACACACACATGTTATGGCTAGTTGCGACACTGACGTGGGTATACCTATATATTTTAACTATGACCAATACACATAGAAAGATACATAATATAGGTAATATTATATTATTATGTATATTGTAATATTGTATAATATATTAGGTATAATCATAGATAATAAAGATATGGATAGGACATATTGGTCTTATCAGCGGTCATCGAGGGGAACAATTGAGGCCAAATAAAGTATACCTATATTGAGTATCGACTATCAATATAAAGGAGCCTCAATTGCCTTCCCCTCCGGGAACGCGGCCTCAAATGTATTTAACATAGGCGTGGCCTATCCATATCTTTATTATCTATGGGTATAATATAATAACGTTTTTTATTGATAACTGATAAGGTAACAGATGACAACGTTATGTGATAAAGATTTGTTGACGCCACAGAATAGATAATAATAGTATTATCTAATATCTATATTCTGTGGACCTGTGGTAGTGTGGTTGATGCTCTCGAACTTGGACTCGTAGATATCACATTGCGTAGTGTATTATTTATGCTTGGACTATAATTATTCTATTACAGAAATACAGAATTTCACCAATTCTTATGACGTGATTCTACCATTTTTAATTTTTATCTTACTGGTTAGTTCTTGTCAACACTTGACGCCCGGTGCAAGTCGTCAGCTCAGAAATCGGGAACTCGGAACACTGATTTGTGTACAAGACAATGTCTTATATTTATACTCTATAATAATTAAACTCTATATTAGACATTCGTATATTAGTGATGTATTTATTATGGAAGTATAGAAATCTGCGCAAAAGAATTACATCACAATATTAATTTAATACTATCATAGTAATTGGTAATTAGTATTAGCTTCCAAGTTATTATAGAGACATATAGGTAGGTAGTATATTAATGAAGTTGGTGAATAAACTGTACGGGACTAGGTGGCAGTATAATAAACAGTTCCTGTCCTTTTTTTGTTTTTTGAACGGGGAAAAAAATTAGTACAATATTAGTACCAACCTAAAATAACATATTAAATAAAATATATACCATATAGTTAATACATTGTCTGCAGTCCTAATACCTATGTGACATAACATAATATTAAAAACTAATGATAGCCATTTTCACTAAGGATGATCATACATTCATAATTCATATCTAATTAGTTTTTCATGCTATTTGGTACCTATTTAGTATATAGTATACCTACAGAATATTCTAGGTTTATCGTTAGGTATATTTAGTATTTATAATTAGGTAATAATTTATTAACTAAGAAATAAGACAATGTGTACTGGTATTAATGTGTTTTGTATGTATAATTAGGTATTCAATTGAATACCAAATTTTAAGAGTATAAAACATTTGAATTGTTTTCCTAACTAAAAATTCTTAATCTAACTACCTATTTTAACTCAATTAAATAATATGTATTAAATAATTATGTCATCTATCAAACTAGGATATTTTTTTCGATATGACCTATATTTTTGGCTCGCATTGGCATATTATATTGAACAGCCTAAGAATAAACTTTAGCTAAACAGTTAAAACGTTAAACTTTGTGTTCAACATTTAAATGGATGATTTAACTTTTGATTCTGTACCATTTATAGAAGAAGGTACACAATGTTATGTTTATTTCACAACAAAACAAAACTCATAGATGTGTTACTTCTTTCAGGTACAGCTGAACCGAGCCAATTGTATGAACGACAGCCATGGCAGAAGCTTGTATTGATATTTTTAGCTGAAGTGTTTGGTACTGCTTTTTTAATGTTGTTCGGTTGTATGGGATTAGTTCCTAATAATCCGGCTGAAGAACTTGGTGCATACAGTGGTGCTATTGCATTTGCTGGTATTGTAGCTATTGCTATTGTTGTAAGTATTTTATAAATATATATTTGTAATATTTTGTTATTAATTTTAATTTTTGACTTAATGCAGATTTTTGGTCCCATTAGTAATTGTCATTTAAATCCATGTGTTACATTGTGTGCATTACTTCTTGGTAAATTACCAATATTAACAGCTATTGTTTATGTCGTAGCTGAGTTTTTAGGAGCTATGATCGGTTATGGAGTTTTAGTGGTGAGAACCTTAATTTAATAATATAGATAATCAAAAGTAAAATTGAATTATTTAATTGAATTTTTTTTTTATTATTTCATAGGTTATTTCACCTTATAATATATTGAGTTCATCAGGATCTGGAGTTTGTGTAACAAGCCCAGTTGTGGGTTTGACTGAATGGCAAGCCCTTTTAATTGAAGCTATAACAACAGGACTTTTAGTGACTTTAGTATGTGCTCTCTGGGATCCTAAAACTAATAATGGAGAATTTGGTTTTCTGACATTTTTTATTATGATATTCTTGTCATCAGTTGTTGTTGTAAGTATTTTAAAATAAAATTATGAATTACTCTCAACGATTTCAGGGTAAAAACTTGTTGAGTCATTTCAGATGTACAAAAAAAAATTGTATTGAAAGTGTAATACTATGCTTATTTGTAGTGGTTTTAAGTTCTCAGAATTTAAAATTCTATAAAAAATATTTAACAGTAACTATCAACATGTTTTTCTCAGTGGTTTTCAATTAACTATATAAAGTGCAATACAGAGTTCATTAAAATTGTATTAATTTGTTAATGATTCCTTTTAGTCGTTAGTTAAATATGAATTATAACTGATAGAGTGATAAGTAATTGAATGCTTTATAAGCAAGGCAACTTAGGCCTACAAACAACTAGGGGGAATGGTTAGTTTTAATACGTGTATGTGTGATCAGAATTTGTTGCTAAAAAGCCCGATGGTCATCCATCCAGGAGCTAGCAACACCGGCCGATACGTACACTCTGAACGTATGCAACTGAGTGTAGACACCCACTAAAATGTATATTTTAGTGAGTTTGTGGTAGAAAAAATAAATAATCAAAAATATTTAAATAATTATGTAAACGTTTATAACTCAATTAATTAATATTTTGTGCTTATATATTTATGTATTAAATCTAAATAGTAAATACTCAAAAAATAAACTCATATCAGAATTGTCAGGGTAAGTGTACTACCACCAACATTGATTATCTGTTATAGGTAGTGATATCTTACTTAAAATTGTTTCTACTTCTACCATTTATCATTAGACTACCTGGTGGATACTTTGCATACTAATTAGTTGTTTAAACTTAATTTGAATTGATTGCTTTCTGTATTAAAATATTATTAAAAATAGTATTCTAGCAACGTAAAATGTAAATAATTTATTAATGATAACTTATTAAAGTAGTTGGTATAATGCAATTTTTATGATTTTACATTTTGTGTCCATACAGTGTATTATTTTAATTTAAAAAAAAGTACTTTTAAAATATAAGATTTGAAAATTTAAAACTAGATTCTTTATAAGTTTCCCTATCTTTAAAAAAAAAAATCTTAGTAATATTCAAATTATTTTGTAGTTAAAAATTATAAAATGTTCAAATTGTATATCTAACAATTGAAAATTCTCATAAATAATTCATACTATTATCAAAATATCTAAAAAAATAAAAATAAATAGTTATTTTTTACGGAACTTGTAAGTTCAATTTTAGATAAAATGACATATTAATACCATGATTTAATAATTATTTGTGGGCGCAAGAAACTTCTAGAGTATTTTATACGCACAATGACATTTGAAAATGAATTTTTTCAGTAAAAATGAATTCAACCAAGTAGTGTTTATTTCTTATAGTAAAATAAATCACATTAATCACAATAGAATCATAAAAATGTATACTTAATAATAACTGAAATTATATGCTGTCCATCAATCGTTTTTTTTTCATGTACAATGGTTTTATATCATTGAATTCAAACTTAACATATCTATTACAGTGGCTCCCCAGACCCATTCATTTTTTAGGGATTGCATATGAATTTTAAAATTTTATTTGTGGATAAATAAAGTATAGCATATTCTTATATTATCATTTACTACAAATAATAAAAAATAGAAAACATGTAATGTAACAGCCAGATTAGAAAAATGCTGCTTTTTAAAATTTATTTGAATTTTTAATTGTCTTTATTTTTACCACTTTTGTATTATTGTTCTAGGGCCCTTTCACTGGAAATAGTTTGAACCCAATACGATCTTTAGCACCAGCAATATATAACAATTCATGGAAAATGCATTGGGTAAGTGATTATATCTTAATAACTATTGAAGATTAATGTATAAAAAAAAAATGCATTCCAACAATAATTTTTTTATTTTCAGATATACTGGGTTGGTCCATTTTCCGGAACAATAACATCAACTCTTTTCTACAAATATATTTTTATGGCATTAAATAACGATGAACGAGTAAAATAAAGTGATTTTTTTAATAGAGCTACATACCCATTCCTGACACTTGACTCAATTTATTAAATTTGAGTTTTTACTGTGTTTCTTTTATATTAAATATTGAAGTCAGTGTAAATTGTGTCAGTGTATGTGTAATATCCTTTACAAAATATCCATCTCCATGTTTATAGTTTATTTATCTACTTAATTATGTTTTAGTCTCCACCAAATCTTTTAACTATTTGATTTTATTCTACTAGGTTTATTCAACTGTATGGATTATCTTTATATATAAGCTATGTATACATTATACACAATCTATGTACAATGTTATTTACTGACAGTATTACATAGATTTATTTATGCGAAAAATAATTTTTATTTTAGCGATAACTTATTCTTATACAAAATTACGTAATATGTATTAAGTATATGGCGTAATGAATATATATTTTTATTGTAAGTGCGTAATAAAGTTTTTTTTTATGTATTTATCATGTTGATCATTTCAACTTATGAATATGTTATACATGTGTTAAAACAATATGACAATCTGAAAATAATTTTTATAATAATATGAATGTGAAAAATCATTGTATTCAATGATGTCTAATATTAATATTAATTATGTATCAGCTCAATAAGTAATTATTTTATTTGTATGGTGCCTAACCTTGTCTATAATATTTTTGTACTAAAATATACATAATATTACATATGTATATACATATCACTTTGTTAGTAAAAAAGGTGTCTTTAAGACCACAGGTGACAACTAGACCACACAATCTTATTGTCTCATGGTCTTATTGTCCTTTTCCCATATTATGTATGCAATAATGTGCATTGTAAATTATGTACATTGTACTTATATATAATAATTTATATACTTCAGTAGAATATAGCTTATTAATAATATTTTTTTTCCATTTCTGTGAAATCAATGTTTTAAATAAAACACTTGTGTGATATATATTATTAATTATTTAATTGATTTTTTTTCTCACAAGTTTCGGCAATTATATATTGTTCACAGTCTTTAATATTTTTTTGATAATTATTGTGCCAAAAATATTTTCTGTTCTGACCTTATAATAATTGATATAGGTATTTATTGAGAAATTTGAATGTCCACATAAACTATAAACTATAATTAGGTATTATATTATATATTATGGGTGGGCAACTGACGGCCCGCAAGCCTTTTTTTATCAGCTTCATTTTAAAATGATATCATTCAATTTTAAAGTTTATCCTCTAAACGTCTATACTCTTTAATCTATTTAACACTAATTAAAAAACATTTTGTGAATGTTCTATTTTTTTTGCTTTCTATGCTCTGGCCCATAAGATTTTAATTTTATGAAAATTGGCCCTCTAGTAACTTTGAGTGCCCATCCTTGTTATATATTATGGTTTTGTGAGAATAAAATAATAATATGTACCTAGATGCTCACATATCTTCAAACAGTCAAATTAACCTGTGTCCTGTGATACACTGATATACACAATCCAAGGTGCATATTTAGGTGACTGTTGACTGATAATAAGACACTCAAAATAAATCATTTTTCTCCATAGATTTATCTATAGAAAAAATAAACACGCACTTGGGTCTAAATCTTATCCAACAGTGATTGAAGCACAGATATACAAAGTAAATATATGATTATATATATATATATGTGGTTTGAAGTCAAATGATCTATGCCTAGTTCACACTATGGCATACATGATACACCTAACTGTAAAAATATATAAGATGATACCACTTTTGTAACTTACAATGTTATAACAAAGGTGCCAATAATTTCGCTAGATGGCAGTTCAGAGATTTTTGATTGACACAATTTGTCTCATTGTGTCGATTGCTGATAGTGCAGAATGATTATATTTATTATTTATAATAGGTATGTACCTACTACCTATATACATAATTATTATACTAATATTCATTGTATTTGGAATATTTTATGTTGAATTTTATAGATTCATAAATCGAAACAAATTTTTTAGGAACACTAAACAAGTTATAATGACATGTTCATAAAAGGAGATGTTATATATCCTGTAAAGTATCAATATATATAAGGCCATTTTTTTAAGGACCAATTTAAAAAAAAAGGAAAATATGTAAAATGTCCAGTACTTTGAACACTGTATTGTATCTTGTATTCAATAAAATATTATTTATCCAGAGTATTATGAAATAATGTTTAATTGTGCTTAATATTCTAATTTTTTTAACGGTCCTTTATACTTTTTAAGTATTTAATTTAGTATTCAAAGCGAAATGCTACATTATTAAAATAAATTAATGGTTTGAAAAAAGGTTTATAAAGATATTTCAATATTTGTACTTAATTTGTTCGAGTACTTAAACTTAAAGTACATTGTACATTTGTACCACAAAGTCACAATTAAATAGATGATGTAGGTATACTATTTTAGTACGTATTATAAGTATATTAAACACCGAAAACCAATGATTAGGTAGTTTCAATAGTTGTATGGATGTCAGCGCATTATTTGGTTAATTAGGTACCTACTCACGCGAAACATAGGTGGCAAATTTATGTTTAGCAGAACCAATCCTGTGTTATTACTTTTAATATTAGAATGAATTCACCTATTATCAAACTAATAAAATATAAGTTAAGAACATTATCTGTGTCCTTGCGTTGTCAATTTGTATATAAGTTATAAGCGTGTAAATTATTAAAATTTAAAAATGTTCATAGATTGTATAAAAATTAAAATATTGTAAAAAGCCAACGTAGGGACTCGGCCACACAGGAAATGTTTTTAGCTTAAAGTTTGATAATAGGTAAATTCATTCTGACATTAAAATTTAAAAGTAACAACACTGGGTTGGTAAACAATATCTACATAATTTTGCTATATTGCCGCGTGTATGCGTATTAGAGACAGAGAAAACAATCCTCTTGAGAAATGAATAATATTTCACTGACAATTCTAAAATGTTCAGTCTGAATAGATGCCCACTTTAAAAAAATATATTAATTAGGTAGTTTGGATTTAAATCTATCCGTTTAAAATCATAACATTTTTAGTTTTTTTTTAAATTAAAAATGTATACCTAATAACTTTTTGGTGATACCAAACAGAGTGTACAATTACATGGGTAAATTATACTAATGCTTTTGGTATAAAACGATATTTTTTTATTGTTTAATTATTTTAATATTATTATCAAATCTAAATGAACACAAAATTCGTATAACACTATATATAATAGTAGGTATAATAGTTATCACTTATCACGTGCCTATCGAATAATATTGTTAAATGACAATGATATAATAGAACGAAAATAATAAGAATCACAAATTTAAAAAAAAAACAGCATAATATGGATAGAATATATCATTAAATGATAATCATATACATTCATACATCGCGTTAACTAACCCAACCTATTATATACCTACCTACATATAGTATTATGTTAAACAGCCGTTATCCACGAGTTCTTTAACCAAGTCAGCGATCATTTGGCGACATAAGTTGCTCGAGGTCATGACCGGGTAAGGTTCCTTGCTGGGTTCGTCGTCCATGTTGATCGTATCTTCGGTATACATGTCTGGAGCCAGCTCCGAGTCACATGTAATGATTGGTATCATATCCAGTGCTACTCCTAAGCCAAACACGTTGTACTCACGCACCTCTTCGTATAACCTGTGACATGATTTATGAATTTATTTGTAAAAAAAAGATAGAAACCAATTCATAGTCATATCGATAATATTATAAAAACAAGCAAAATTTTTTGAAAATTGTTAAAACAATTATACTAATAGGTATATAATTTTAGGAGTAAAGGAATATCCATCCCTGAACAAAGTATAGGTATAGTACCTACCTATAGGATTCGTTAAATATTTCAATTTGATAACCCAAAAAATTATCACGTGGAAGTCAAACTGAAATTTCTTGGACACAAATAAAATAAGCTTTAATAATTGTTTTTTGAACAATTTAAAATTGGGCCTATTTTCGCAGAAGCGAACGGATCATATACAATCTGACAATATTTTTAAAAAAAATCGCTAATAGAAAAATATAATTAATATCTGAATATAGGAGAACAAATTAAATAATAAATTAAATGTAATATATTATACCTCAATCTATGTTCTATCGAGCAATTACAATGATTTACCAAACGTCACCTCAATATTATAATGATCGGTTGTGAGTGGAAATCAGTGCAGGTCAATATTTTTATATTTATATATACATAAACTAAAATGACTTATTAATGGTGTAGGTATTATGGTTATCTATAAATTATTATTTTTAATTTTATCAAATGTATTTCATTTGTAGGTATTTTTAAGAAAATAAAAATTCGGTGAGTTTGAAAATGATTGTTTTTGTGAAAGGCGTATATTGTACATAGGTGAGCCTCCTTGATCACTGTTTTCTATCGTGTAGAGACTTAAACTTGAAATTTGATGGACTTATTACACGTGTTTTTATTTATTTAATATTGTTTGTGAACAATATATAATATGCAGCTTGAGGTTTCGAGAGCACCTATACCAATTATACATTTACGATTTACCTAAACATTGTGATCTATAATGTATTAATTCATTATTATATGATTCATAGATTACCCGACTTCATCAAAGTTAAAATTAAACTATATTTCTATCTATTATGTTTCGTTTTGTTTCAGTTGAAAATTGAAATACATAATATAATATCTCAATTTTTAGTCACACATATTTTAGAGATGGTTTTTGTTCAATTTATCGAATTTTAACCATCATAAAAAAGTATTTGTATTAATAATAGAATGTTTGATTCTAATATTTAGGTACCTATTTAACTACCTAGGTACTTAGGTTTATCATTATTAAATACTTTTCTTCGAGAAAAACTTTTATTTATCGTATACATTTTTACGTAATTAATTTTGAATTAAAACTCAACAACAAGATCGGGTTTACGCAATTTTAGTATTTATTTTAAATAAATCAGTTCCGGGTAAAAATAACGTAATAAATACTTACTTCTGTCGAATATCTGGGTAATGGTTCAAGCAGTCTGTCTGTGTTAAAACACTGACGATCGAATCATAATATTCTTCCAACAGTTCAGGTAAGTACTGCTTCCTTAACTCTACGCTGGTACAGCAATACAAAAGACTGACCAAGTCCAATGCCGGGGAGCCATACCTAGCCAACTGAAAGTCTACTATAGACACCTTGAAAAATAATATAAATAATATTAGGCATTAATTTTTTCGCAGTTGTTTGCAAATGTCACTTCTTACTTCAGATATGCTCCCGTCTTGAGCGTACTGAAACAAAAAGTTGTTCGTCCAACAGTCACCGTGACAGAGTACAGCTAGCGATTCTTTGGGTGACACCAGTCCCACCATATAACCGAAGAACGATTCGTGGTTGACAAACTTACGAAATTTATCCAAATATTTTGGTTTCTCGTCTTCGGTCAATACTGCTTCCAGCTGTTAGAAAAAAAATCGTAAATATAATTGGTACAATAACACGTGAAATGCGACGATAATTAATTATTGACGATATCGATGTGTATATTGTGCAGTATATAGGTATACTTACCATTTTCTCTGCGTTCTCCGCGGCTCGTCTATAATATCCTTTATACCACAATTCGTTTTCACTCTTGTAGTACACTTCTATTATAGCGTCTGAGACGCATTCTTTAAACTTTTCTGGTTCATCGACTTTCATAGACAGCGACAACCCGTGGAATTTGCCCAAGACTCTGAAAAAACAACACGCCAACTCAGACGCATATATAAAATAATATTCCCACCAAATGTTTACCTCAGTATTGCTCTACAATGATTAAAATCGAGACCTTTCATTCTGTCCAGCATGGTGAATCCTTTGCATCGCATGTCTTCCAATATAACGATATCGCTTTGGGCCAAATAACATTTCGGCACGCTGTTAAAGGTTTCGACCAAGTTTTTGTGCTCCTAAAGCATTGGTGTAAGCCTTATGGTAAAAGTAAATATTACAAATATAATATAGGTACTCTATACGGACTTGATATTTCATCAATGCAGTAAACGATTTCGTGTAGAATGTTACTTCGTTATTAAATAGTATTTCAGATTTATACGTATTTCTCGCCTGTCGGTTATCGGGCAAACACTTGTAGATCAGAGATTTTGACCATCCGTTGTCACCATATAGTTGGATCCTGTACAACATTGATGTATAGTTATCACCTCGTTTCGATCCCAACGCTATCTGTGAAATATCGCAATTCGATCAAACCCAACATATTAATACAGACGTATTTTATAATTTGATACAATTTTACATCATCACTCACTTCGTACGAATTAATTTTCACTCCGGGTTCGTTCTTGTCGATCATAGATTGCAGAAAAAACAAATCTATGTTTTTAGATCCAGACATGATGCAGCGTTCTTGACTACAGGATGCACACGATTAAACTGAAGCTGAAATATTCCCGAGTAGACCCATTCGTCAATTACGAATATATTTTTGCTTATAGGTACTACTTATATGTCAATGCGTGGGGACTGACGCACATCCGTATGCACTCACGCAGTTAAGTACAATCAACAAGACCACCATAGCTTCTGTTATGTGATAAAAATATAACTATTTACTTTGTGTACGACAATACAAATTGTTATGCACCAATAACACCATGACGTATGATGTATTAGTAGCAAAATCAAGGCATAACTTGGAACGGCTGGAACAACAAATGTTGATGATACCTACGATAATTATTATTTTGAGCAATCGGTTCAATGACATAATGTTGAAAAGTATAATCATTGAATTTTCAAGGTACGAAAACCCGTTAACTACGATCTTAAACTTGATTTCGTGATCAGATTTTTTTTTCGAGATTGAGATCGAGAGTATCAAAATCAATTATATTATTTAAGACAATATTTGGTAGTTTCAAATTACTCTGATTTGAAGAGGTATCTCTAGATGAAGGGGCGAGTTGAGTTTCAGATTGGGGGAAAACTTCGTCTTGCTCCTTCATTTCTAGCATTTCAGAACGATTTGGTGACACGAAAAACTGTTTTTTTTTTATCTTCACGATCCGGCGAGTTTGTGGACCTCGACGAAAGAGTTATTTTTTTATAGGTTTTTCATCGTTTTCTTCTTCGTTACAGTGTTCTTGTTTAAAATAACAATTGGTGAAACCCTACGAGCCATTGATTAAGCGTGTTTAATGAATCATGTTAGGCACTAGGTATCGGTTTAGCTGCCTGAGACTGTAGATCAGAATTTAAATATTCAAAAACTAATAAGATACTACCTATAGTGATAATAGTATTTTAGGTACCTGGTCTATTGTGCTTATTGATTTTAAAAATTATACTGAAAACCAATGTTTACAAAAGTCATGAGCACTATGTTTCAAAAAAGTGTTTTCTTCAGTTTTTATTTCTGCAGTTAAATTACCTACAACGGCTAATCAGTAATCACATAGGTGAACAAATAAATAAAAAAATCTAATCGCATGACACACTGATGTACTATTTAATCAAGCTTGACAAAATATTTCAATATGTCATAGTGAATTCATTATTGTATTATTATTTTTCTTTGATTGTGATCGAGTAACACATTGAATGCTTTTTAGGGGCGGCCACAATTAAATACCCACTATAAGTGATCAAAATATATCAGTGTTGAATCATAACACGTACAGATTGTAAGTAATTTAATAAAAAAAATATCTAATAAATTTACAGAATTTTAGAATTTAATAATAAAAATTCATTTAAACAGGTTAGCTACCTACTTAATTATTTTTGAATAACTGAAAGCCGATATTATATAAAATATAATATCAATTGACGACCATTATTATTTGATGTACTTTATTTCAGTATCTTCTTCTATTTCTAGTATACTTCTTTTTATCTACTTATTTATTATTATTGGATTTAGAAATGTTTGACAGTTATTTTTTTCACATTGCATAATAATAATAATAATAATAATAATATGTATTAAAAGGAAAAATGTAATTAAAGAATCTATTGTGACCAGTTTGACTCAATCATTATTTGAACCATTTATGTCGCTCATAGTAGGCGAATAAAAATTTAATCAATTTATGAATGTATGACAGAAATAGGAAGTACGTTTATAATATGTGGCTATTATATACTCATAACATACAATTTTCCCTAGGGAGGAAATCGCTGTACGTTTGTACGCTGCTTATTAACAGGAACAGTAAATAACAAAAAAAAAAAACAAACCAAAAAGTCATAAATGTTCATTATTTTTATTTACATAACACAGACATCGATCATTTACGTGCATATAAAATAATATACAAATAGATAATTTATACGTGAAAAGAAACCAAATTTGTCTCAGGAAATCCGAGAATCGGCCAGTCCTACTTTCACTCAATACGTTAAATGCATAATAATAACATATTCATATATACGCAATACTGCAATATCGATTTTTTAGGTCCTTAAAACTACTGAGACCCATCACGTTTAGTGTAGTTAAACAATAATAATAATAATGACGATGAAAAAAAAACAATAACGATACAATGCAGCACAGTGATACACATTGACCCAAAACACGTTCTGCCGCACGAAAGCCGGCTAGGTCATGGTTGATATTCATCGCAGCCGTCCAGCGAATTTCTCTTCCTGTCTGCACCAGTATACCATCGTGGTTAGTTGGTCGCGTTTTGACATCGGAAATCATGCCGCTTCATCGGTATACCCGTCGGCCCGTCGGTGAACTGACAGATCTGCAAGCCCATTTTGGAAAGCGGATGACATTTGCTGCGCTGATTTCCCCATTTTCCGTAATACTGCATCCAGATGGGAAGTTTTTTCGACGAGTTCAACACGTCGACTTTCAGCCAAGTTTTCCACGGAAATCCGTAGCCGCTGTCGTCGTACAACCGCGGTATGCGCACGTATTTATGTTTACCTGCAAAACGAATCGATGTAGAATTATTGATTTTAATGCCTAAGGCATGTGTCATCTCGAACACATTCAGTGGCGTGATCATATTTTTCAATTGGGGGGGGGGGGGTTATGACTAATAATTCATTTCAATCATAGACGTGTCCACGGTGGCAGCCTAGGATACCTGGGCTGCCCCTGAAATTTTCGAAAGTCGCCGATCGATCGAGTTTTAAGTCTACAGATGGGTTACAACTTTTATTTTGAAAAAAAAAATGTCTTTTATTTATTGTTATAATTACTATTTATCCATTAAGATTTATGTTCCCGACTCCGGAAAAACCTATACTATAAAGATTTGAGACGGACGACGGTCTGGTCCGCATAATCTACTATTGGATACTATAATATTATTGTGGTGTTATTTTTTTTTGATTTGTAGTTCGGTCGTGTATAATCCTGCAAGGCTGTAGATGAATAATATTTTTGGAGTTTAATTTAATCTCTAAAAGGTACTGCAAGTACTGTAGATATTACTAATTGTAAATAGATAATTCAGATTTTTTTCAAACTATACAAATATTTCATTGGAAGGGGGGGGGGGCGCTTTAAAAAAATACGGCGTTTGGTTTATAGGGCTTTTTTTGGTTCTTTAAGATACTGCCGGTTATTAGCTAGGCTGCCGCTGCGAATGAAGTCTAGTCACGCCTATGATTTCAACGAATTGTGGTGGTAGTACCTGCAAAGGCACAAATAAGGGGATTTATCAGACAAGATAATATAATCTAATGTCCAACCCCTATGCACGCCACTGATCATACTACTGTTATGTTTTTCTGACGAGAGAATATATTTTATTCGAACGCAGACCGAGTGACGAAATCAGCTGTTGTTCAATGTAATATTGAGTTATAAGTTATAACTTATAATAATAAATTAATATATCTCACCTGGAGCGGTCCATAGGCCGTGAGATCCCTTGGCCGCGAACAGCACCGGATGATTGCCCTCGTCTGTCAAGTGCACCACTTCGGGAAATTTGGGTTTTTGCAAAAATCCTTTACGCACCTCTTGTCGGTTGAAAACGAACTTTCGCAGATTCCGGTCGAACCGGTAAAAGGCGCCAGCGTCGTGCACAGACACGTACATTTCTTCCGGTTCGTCGTAACCCTGCGACAAAATCAAACGGACATTATTAAACATTAGTCACTTATGCACGCAATTTTGCGAACAGACCATGTAGATTTTTTTTGCTCAAAATAATTATTTTGTACCTTTTTTGCTTGTATTATGTATTTTGTCTACACTATAACAATACTTTATTTTGAAATAAAAATGTTATTTATATTTTATGTGTAAATTATAAATGTAATATTAATTATTATTAATAATATACCTATATTTAAGTTTTACATGACATATACTACGGTTGGTTTATAAATTCATCTACGTAGGGTACCTAATAGGTATATCTATTCAATGTTCAACTTTTGATTTAAGATTTATAAATTCGAACTAAAATAAAATTGTAAATCTTAAATTCTTAACAACTATTTTTTTAAATATAGAATTAGTTTATTAAATAAACAGTTGAAAATAAAATTTGGTATGAAATTAGCGAATATAATACGAAGATATTCACTTGTATTAAGATTTATTATAATATCGAAATTATTCCATTTTCTATTTAAGATTCTATGTGGAGCTAAAAATATATCTAGATGATTTTTAGGTGGTTGTGTTTATTTTTTAAATGGAATTTTCAGCTTTAAATATTGAGATATGACAATTTAAATATTTAGTACAAGATAATTTTACAAATTGTATTTATACATTTTCATTAGTAATATTAATAATTATTACCGATGAAATATGCAATCATTAATAATTTTTATGATTCTCTTCTATTAAAAAAAATCGTCCGATAAACATTATTGTAAACCAAACACATCTACGACCAAAGTGCATGGTTTAAATGGCTTAATAGTGGTTATAATCACAGCATGAATGCTAGAAGCCACGGAGTATGGATGATGATATGGTTATGTATAAAAAATATAATATGTTATGTTTAGTAAAGTTCTTGTTGGACATTATAATTTATTATTATTATACTCAGGTAATTAAAAAAAAAATATTATAAAACTCTAATTATAGGTAGATATGAGTACTCATTACTATTTTCAAATCATCATACGTATATGGTACACTAATTATCATGGACATATTATTAATAAGTTCATAAAGTTTAATAACTATATCTTATTTAAATTTTGATTTAGATAATATAGGCTCACAACAACACTTTCAAAAAAAAAAAAATCATATGCTTAACACGAGTCATATCATAAACGGTGGTATACATTAAAAAATAATAAGTATGTGTATGCCTATGGTTGCCACAGGATGGCCATTGAACATCCTATAAATTGTATCTTTTTGAAAGTATGGTCTTTCAATGTATGCACTATGCACATAAACTCAAGTATTCCAAAAATCAGAATTTTTATAGACACATTATTTTATGCAATGCGGGTTGTGTGCACGCCTGTTCAGTCACTCCGTATACAATGGGTAATAGGTATACTTGTATATGGCTGTGTCAAGTTATGTAAAATAATATACAGTATATGGTACGTACGTTAAACATGAGACTCATGTGTTCCCAGTCTCCGACATGGCTGCCGTACTCTTTGAGGGTGCCGAAACACCTGTTGTTGAAGACCGGCAACGGTAGCGGGCCGAGCAAGCCCATGTCCAGTGTACATATCGGCTTGCCCTGACTGAACGGGAAAAACAGCCAATACGACACGTGAAAATTTTTAAGACCGCATTGAGTGACGTGCGCGTAGATGGGCACGTTGGTTGTGTTCGGGTTTTGTCCGTATAATACGGAAGTAGTGTTTTCCAACAGTTGTTCTGTGGCAAAAGAAAAGAAAAACTTGCTGTGATAAAAGTATCATTGAACATAATTCGTGTAATATAACATAATTATTAACAGGGCTCGTGATTTGTGTTATTCTCATATAGGTACCTACCAATTTCAATTTGAGAGTTCGTCGTTTTAGACTACCTACAGTGAGTTCTGATAATTATTTATTGTTCCTGATAGATCACTGACAACATGAATATTTTTTAGACTATATGAATTATACGATTCTGCTCACGATAAATTACATTTTTTAGTTCCACGACTAACGAGTCTCTAGTTTTGATTAATATCGTATTTTTGATGAATGATTTCAACTGCAGGTTAAACACTTGCATACAATATTATACTACTGTTTACTGAAAAAGTGCATGTTTTGAAGTTTTAATCACCTTTTAATGTCTACCATACTTTTACCGATGAGTAGAATTTACATTTATTGTACTTGGGGCTCGACAAATAATTATAATATAATACCGGTAATAATGTCGTTGCTCCAAATGACTGGTTTAATAATAATATTTTTTTTTCATTTATTAAATTAAAAATGCTTCAGCACACTGAGTGCTATTACAAGTAGTTATATATTAATTATGAGTTAGATTATACTATGTACATGATTTTCGAATTGATACAAATGAGTAAATTATAGTTTAATATATATAGTGTAAGTATATATGTGTGAATGTGTTCTTTAATAATAATATTTTTATTATTATGTAATAATATAACTGATTGATAATTTATATGTATGTTTTGATGATCCTGATCATTTTAATTACACGGAAATCCGTTGACGACATAAAACGATTCCGTATGTTATGATCCAGCCGCCCATATTGTTATTTATTTTGAATATCTTCTCGTATATACGCACATACAAGTATTCTCATTTCTTAAAGTTCATACCAAGCGGCAAATCATTTAAATTATTATAATCAGAGGATGTTAGCCATAGACCTTATACAACAAGATGAGAACTGTGTTTAACGATAGCATTACGAACGGCGTAACATCTCGCAGTGATGTATGCTATTTTTACGAAAAAGTACAATAATCTATACAGTCTGTATATCTTACCCTGCTACCCCGCACTACCGTTCGTACGAGTAATCGAGTAATCAAAAAGCGCCCTCTATGTTTTTACGCTTTCCATACACTCGTTGCTTGTCTAGTAGTATAAGGTCTATGATGTTGGAGTACTATTTGTTTTTTCTCTGACTCACGTGCGGCAACGTAACAAATTCAAGTCTTGCAAAACCAACCCTATAGAGTGTTGTTACTTTTAATATGTGTCGCTACGTTGGCTTTTTGACGATATTTTAATTGTTATACAATTCATAAGCATTTTTAAATATTGCAATAACGTGTACGCTCATAACTTACATTAAAAAAAAAATATATCATAGGTACAATGTCAACGTAGCGACACAGGAAAATAGATAATAAACTTTACGCAAAGTTTGTATAGATTTGGTATGTACCTACAATGTTGCGTGTGGATCTCTGAAAGAGAAAATAAATAGTGCTCTGACATCCTCTTAAACATATTCCATACAACTCTGCAAGTATTGATAAAACATACTCTATCTTTATTTTAAATCGATATTGTACACATGTAAATTTGACAAGTTAATAGGCTTATATCATGTACTGGTAATTGGTATACGTTTATAATAATGTATTGTTCTCATAGACTTGGAATTGAAACATTACAAAGATATCTATCCGAAATACAACTATGATTGATTGTGCTGAAAAATGCAAAATGTAATTCATTTCTAATTGATGCACGAGAAGACATATCTAACGGTACACTCGTGACTCGTCCAAAGCAGCGAGTTCAATATAATGTTTTTAATTATAGACTAATTAGTTTGCGGTAATCTTGAACAATATCTGAAATTGTGAATGGAACTTAATATTGGAATCGTGTATTTTATCAGGTGTTTGAGACTTAAGAGAACAATAAATACATACAATGTCAGCCATTTTTTTAAATAATGTTTCGTAGATACACGACGGTAAAAATAAAACAACGAAAACTATCAAATATAATTTATTCAGCTAAATTGGCCATTGGTACCTACTATTTACTAAAAGTTAATCTTTAACAATTATACCTAACATATTAGGTAGTGGTGTATACTATTAATAGAACTGTATACTTACATGAGTTCAATATTAAAATACTTATGTAAAATATTTTAAGTGTATTATAATTTATATTCGTTTTTTTATTTTTGCTAATTTCGACAGAATATACTATAAATATAACAATTTGAAAATGTAAAACCACATGACTGAAACGAATGAGCTGTAATGAAACTGACACGTTTTAGAAAGTTCATGTACGTTTATATACTAACAAATACGCATCCGTTATTCACAATATAAGAACATAAAACATTAAAACTGCAAAGTAATATAAGCTGCATAGTTATTATCAAAATAACTAATTAAGAACAAAATAAGACAACAATTAAATACGAATACGAGTTAAGATAAATCCATGGATTACAAATTAGTTAGTAGATATACATTATTTCATAAATACTTTTTATAATCTGCAGGGTTCGGACTTTACAAATATACTAAAAGCAACTATAGTATGATTTTAAACTTTTAAAGTATAGAAAATATCAGCAAAAAGTTTTTATTTATTATAATTAGTGGTACTCATTAAGTGTATCTAATTCATTTAAGATTTAAATCGCTACAAAAAATTAATTCATTATTTAATGATCTTGAATTAAATAGATCTTTAAAGCAATACTGCTCAAAATTATCCAAACTTAGGTTAATGTGTTATCATAACACAGTTATCTGTTCACAATTTTTTTTCAATGTTACTTCCATTACTACACTAAAATGTATAAAAATCATCAAACAAATTTGATTTTAAAAATAATAAAAATTCTAAGAAAATAGAACTAAAGTGCATAAAATATGAAAAATATCAAACAGGAATGCAACATAGAATATTGTGGAATCCTTTATTCCTTTGATGCATATAAGTTATTCCATATCCACATTATACATATACTATATGATACCATATGCTACCTGCTAACTGCTATGGCGCAAAATTATTAGGGGGAATGTAAGTTCCAAAACGATAGTACGAAACCTAGAATATTAAAAAAAAACATAGGTTAATTTCTACATTATGGAAAACATTTTAAATGCAAGTTTCTAAAATATAAAAAAGTTATGCATATTAAGTTTCTGTACTAAACATTTATCTGGGTTTACTGGAATAATATATTATAATATTACGTTTTTAAATTATTATTTTCATAATAAAATAAAATATTATATTATGTTATACATTATAACATAGTCAAACATGATGCTAATGTCTTAAATAAATATCATAAATCATAATACGTACTTCTTCTCATAAATAAGTAATTTAAAAAAAAAGTATTTTATACTTCGTGTGTTTTATTTCTGAAATCTAAATATTTAATGTAATCATAATATTGCTTAATTTTCTTCGATGTATGATCTAAAATTTTGCAATTCATAAAATGTTATTTTTCAGCATACTTTTTATGATTGTTGTTCTTGTGTTATTATTTGTAGGTCTTATTTTCATGTTTGTATGTAGGTAGGTATTTGAAAAGTACTTATTTCTATTAACTATTTATGTGAACACTTAAAACAATTCGATACTCTAAACGTTTATCCAAATTATAAGGAGACTATCAATACCAGTAATTAGGTACTAATTAGTATTAGTCATTAGTTTAAAAAAAAGTGTTTTCAGAAGAAACACATAATTAAAATAATCATATACTTTTAGAATACAACTTAACGTGTCTGAAGTGCAATATTTTATTGAAAAGATTTAATTATGTATGCATTATTATACAATTTTTAAATTTTTAAAAAATATTTTAATACCTATGATTATGCAGAGGCGTGTCAACGAAATCATCAAAACAAATACCTATTGATTGAATTGTATAGGTATATCATTTTAATAACCAGGTATTATTTTAAATACCGTATCCGTTGTGGCAATCAAAACTAAAACGCATTCGACACAATAAGTTATAATTACTTTAAAGTTTAAAGTAATAACAAATCAACACATAACATGATTAACATGTGTCATGAATGTAGGTGTGCATTGTGCATATAATGATGTTTTCACACCTATATAGCTGCAATAAATATTATATTAAGCTTGCAAACATTGTACTCGTAATTATACGTATATTTTGTACCAACGCGTTTATAATATAGGTACATAGGTAATGTCACAAATACTGTTTATTATTTTTATTTTGCCTACACACCAAATTATACTACACAATGTGAAAAAAGTTTTCCGATGCAAAAAATACAAAAAATACAATCAATTTATCATTTAATAATAAACATATCTAAAATATACCTACTTAATGGTTTTATTTTATTTTAAAACAAGAAAAAAAAATGATTTATAACAGAATCGTTCTACACTACCTTTTTTAATTAGATTCGAAGTGATGAGTATATTATTGGCTTTAAAACAATTTGTGATTTGACCTTTTAGAGCAGTAAAGCTGATTCATTTTTATACTTTGAGAATGATTTACGGTAGACAATTGGATCAAGTTGGTACTTTGGAAGATCAAGAATTAAAAAACCTCAGTACTTTTAAAAATAAGACTTAATAGGAATTTTTACGCAATGTACTAGTTTAAAATTTTCGATAAAGATAATGAATTGTTGTTATTGAATTTAAAAAGGAATAACTGTACTGCAGAATTGAATTTTCACCAAATTGTATGTATAATGTTTTCTACCCATACATAGTTTTTAAATTTTTTTTATATTTTTGTTTTGTGTACAGATATTTGAAATTGTATACTGTTTTCGAATATATGACACAATTTTTAATTTTATAAATTTATGAATTTTGATGTAAAAATTAAAGATCAGAAATAAAGTTTGAAAATTCAATACAAAGTTATTCATACATCTTTTTATAGCATTTAAAAAATATCAAAAGTATTTACACGTTTTTTTAAGTGTTTAAATTTCAAATCGTCACAAAATTACAAAACTATGTAAATATTTTTGTCGTTAAATATTTATAACATTAAATTGTAATACACTAATACCTAATGCTTGAAAGCTTAATATAAGGTTCCTTATAAGCCTGTTTAACTGGAATTGAAAAAGAAAATTGTGTAAAGACTGAAAACATATTATTATTATGAGTAATTTAATTTAAAATGTGTTGGCGACATATTTTGATATTCACTTGTAAAACAACAAATTTGTTATAACATATTTTATTGTAACTCAAAAAATATTAATTGTCAAAACCTAATGTTATTTATCAAACGCTATTACTTAAATTATCATTTGTCACAAACTCACAAACAATGAAACTTTACAAATATTTAGACTAATTTTAAGCTATTACAGACATTTGAAATTCTCGATGTTTTTTTTTTTGATTTTTTCCAGACATGTATTGCCGCATTATCGTTGTGGCATTTTACAACTACACTATACCACAGTCCACAGCAGTTACTGTTTACCGCACAGTCATCTAACTACGGACATACACAGCAATTATAATAATGTAACGTGTTATATATCTACGGCTACGAGAAAATTCTGTATTTATTCACGTAAATATACATAATAATATGTCGTGTAAGACCGTAAAGGGTTAATAATAATAATACAATTGTATATCCAATCGAAAGTGTTTACGCAATTTATTGACTAAATCGTTGAATAGTATACTCGCGTTTAATGTAAATAATGTAAATTTATTGGTAGTGATTCAGAACGTTGTGCCCGCTACATACTATTATATTACATTACATTATATTATATTATTGTTGTGATAAGTGTTCCGGTCAAACGACTTGGGCCGTGTAAACCGACAATTATAATAATACAATATTATCTAGGCCCAGGTGGTCGTCGGTCCAATCCAAGGAGAAAAAATACAGTCCTGTTCTTATCCCCGTTTTTACATAATAATATATTGGCCACGCTTTGGCCTTATTTATGTATATAACTTTATATTAGTGCTTATTAATACCTCGGAATATTAAATCGCATTAAATGCAATTTATAATAGCAAACTGTTACCTAAAAAAAAAAAATAGCCTTAACACATTGCCATTACTTCAATAGCCTCAACTAGGTCTCAAACACTTCATCTACATGTATATACACGGTAACTCATTGTGGTACATAAACCACAAGTAGACGTTAATACGTAACAACTATATACCAATGTATACACAGTGGTCCTGTTTAAAAGCGATAAAACCAATTATTATTTCGAAAAGCTTTTCATAACATTTTCTCTTTCAAAAAATTTAGATGGCTCTTAATTTTTTTCACCATCTCATGATTGAAACAGTACCTAGTCACTATAGATATTGACGATAAAATTATTGATTTATTGTCTTGTCGACTATAAAACGATCGCCCGTAAAATATTATTTTAATTTCAAATATAGTCTGAAGTGGAACACTTTTGTTTCAAATAAAGTTAATATCCAATTAAATAAGTTGATTGCACTGCAAGTCTTGCAGTTATATAAATACAAAATAATGAGTGTTTGCCGTTAAAATAATCGTCCTGTATACATAGATATAATATATTATATAAATGTAATATTATATGTTATGAGCAGTAAGCACTGGTCGCTTATATATATATATATATATATATATATATATGTAATATGCAAGGTACTGCTACCTACAGTACTATAAGTATGAGTATTACTCACCGACTTCGGACTTGGTGACTAAAAACCACGACTGCGAATCCGGGCCCATGGGCACTTTAGAGTGTTGCTGAGCGTCGATGGATAGGCTACGTGGCTTAGGCGTCACGTGATTCAAGAAATCGGTCACGGAACCAGGCAGGAATTGTTCGTCCGGTGCCAACCATATAAGAGGAGCCCAGCGGCGGACCATCTTCTCCACTGAAACACAAAAACTTGATGGTAACGTACCTATATTCACTACGGTAGGTGCCTAAACGAATCGATTTCATATGGTTTTCTTTGCCGTATTGCGGTCATTTTCAAGCGGGTTTTTTTTAAGTTGAATTAAAATATATGTTGTACGGAAATGATAATAACTTATTTTAGCGATATTTGGGAAAGATGCCTCTAATCTATACTCGATTATAAATAGTAGATATATTTATCATCAATGGTACTTCAATAAACGAGATGGTTCATCAAATATACTGACCCCCATTGGCAGTTTAAGTTCTAGGGGGGGGGGGGGGTGATGAATATATTGATTTTACAATGATTTGTGTTTTATTTTTAATTGTTGTGTCTTTCATCAGTCATCACCTTTTGAAAAAGAAAATATTCTTCGACTTCTGACTTTGATGCTTTATTCTTTTTATTGATCACAAAAAACATGGACAACACGGGCCATTAGTTTCAAGAAAGTTACTACATTAGGTTACATTTTTTTTTTTATAATATTGAACAATTTTGTTTGTTTCATAAAATTAATTATATCTAAGCTGTTATTTTGATTGGGTCTGAGTGCGATGCTTAAGTTGCAGGATATCATGTTCTCGACTCTTTCTTGATTGTGCATTAAACAATTATCTATTAGGTGTTTGACGGTTAACATGGTTCCACAGGTTTTGAGGGGCTCATCTCTGGCTATCAGGAAATAGGGGGTGATTCTGGTGTGACCAATACGCAGTCTGTTAAGAGCAGTATCCTACAGATATATTTTATGGTCATTCGGAGCTTAAATTTTGACTAAATTGGATGTAATCACCCGTATCATAACGATTTCTCGTTAAACAATTTTCTTATTTTTACGTTATTAAAGTACGAATAAATGTAGGAAATCGATTATATTAGCATTCTCTTACATACTATAATTTTCAAAATATTTTGTCTCTCTTTAAGCTTGTTAAGGACATTTGAAATTTTTTTCTATAAATATTGACAACAAAATTTACCTCGTTCAGAAAGCTCAAAAATGTAATACAAGGTTTCTCATAAGATGTTATTGGAGTTTTTTTAAGAATTTAAAAAATACCCACATAAGTATGCATTATTATTTTTTATAAGCATTTGAAGTTCAAATTTTACCAAAATTCACCAAAATTTCAAAAACGTAAATTTTTCAACTGAAAAAGACTTCAATGTTTTTATTTTTGTTACTGTCTGACTGATCATCATCAGTTTAATGCACTTTCCGTGTAGATAAAAAAGTGACATTTGGCTCAAAAATTTATATTTTCTTAGTGTGTGTATTGTCAAGCACCAATTCGTTATCGAATATCGTCGTTAATTGTTAAGACTTATAGTCACCGACCACTGTATTAATATTTTTAATATTGTATAGACACCGTTGTCGTTGAGCCTATGGAAAATGGCATGAATATTGAAAAATAAAATCATTAAAATCATTTATGACGAGGCTTGGGACTCGGGAGAACCATTTCTATTTATGATTATATTTTAACTTTATGGTTATGTGTTAAATTATGAACACTAACCAAACTTAAGTTCTAAATTTTCAATAAGGCATCTCAACGTTTTACTATTTTTTTGATCAGTTTATTATATTGTATTATATACTTGGATGAGGTTAACTTTCCCCGGGTTCCTCAATGTATGTAAGAAAATTTCTCCATTTATTTTGATTTTTATCATTATATTATTTTTTTACTAGGTTGAAAGAAATTAGTTTATTGGGTCAAATGCATCCATCAACATTATATTATGTCTATAATTAATACTATGGGTATTATATTGTTATTCTCGCCGTTGGTCACCGTGATCATCACTCGTCATAATTCATGTCACTCTTTTCGATCATATAGTGTAATTAATTATATTAATATATAAACTATAATATACTTTATTTTAAGTAGGTTGTATTGAAACTTTATCATAAACGTGTTCTTAATAAACATACTATTATAAATAAATTCTATACTTTGAACAATCTAAAGCCGAGAATCACATAAATACCTACTAATTGAATAACAGTATTTATTACATTTTTACAATGGGCTACATTTTAAATTCTACTAAATTTGTTTTTTTTTTTTTTTTTTTTTTTTTTTAATGCTGGTTGGTTCTAAATACTTTAAATTTAATCTAATGGCGTGTTTATATATAACTTCAGGGCTGGTTTCAAAGAGGGTGTAGTGGGTGAATCGTGTATTGTACTGGGTTGGTTACTTATCGGCATTTATAAGTTGTATAATAATTATGCTACTGTAAAAATACAAAGAAGGTATCATATTTTGATCGTCGTAAAATAATGTAATTAAATGAATACTTATTAGTTATTACATTATCGAAATGAATGTTTATCATCAATTCTTTTCCTTGACGTGTCAACAGAAAACATATCTCTGGATAAAAATTCCACGAGTATTTTTCAAAAAATATTATGTATGTTTTTTGAAGTGGAAATTACTTGATTATATAAACGAAATCAAAAGTAAATAAAATAAATGAATATATTTTAAAAATACTTATTAATGGTCACATTTTTTCTGGTGTGTAATTTGTATTTCTATACTTACAAGTTACAACGACTGCTGGAACTTAACAATATTAAAAAAAAATGAAGTAATAAAAAAATGCCTAAGAAATTCTATCAGGTCACATCAGCTCAGTTTCATAGTTCTAATATCTTATACCCATATTCGGCAACAAAAATAAGAACTTTTATAAATTACCACGGTATTATTTTAAAAATAAATTTAGTTTATTACACTTGTAGACTGTAGTAAGTACCTACTATTATATTATTTGCTTATGTATAGTTATTAATTTCCTAATACATTATACCTATATTCAATGAATAGTGTTATATAATATAATATATTGATATAAATATTGTAGAGTAAGTAAATAATTAGAGTAATGTTGATAGTTGCAAAGACCATTCTATAACGAACGATACTAGTAATTTTTTCTTAAATTAAGGGCTTCAAATATTTACTGCAACCTGACCTTGCCACTGGATACAAGACCTAAATCTGGCACTGAGTACAAATTAAATCAATATAATATAAACATCTATTTAGGTAATGAATTTAAAAAATATTATTTTCCATACCAAACTTCTTTAGCCATTTTAATATAAATCTTTGGCATATTTTACAACTAAATTCTAAACTAGTGCCAAGGCCAACTATTATTAAAAAATACAATTCTACTCTGTTTTTTCTATGCATAAAACTGGTTTGTCCAATGTCACATTTCTTTTTGATTCCTGATTATTAAATACATATCCTCCCTCCCTTATTAACAACCTAAATTAAAACTACTTCTACAACTTGAATAGATCTAAAATAGTACATATATATACTACTTGACTAATGTACACAACCTACTTAGCTAGCAAGCTTCAAATCGTTTTAAACAATAAACTTTCAAAAATAAATATTTAAGTACAAGTTAAAAAATATACGTTAATTTTAAATCCAAAAAGTTACCGTTGACATTAAAAAATATATATATATTAAAAAAACTACAACTACTTATGAGAATTGGCTAATAATTAAAGTTGTCGAAAATTAGACGTTTTTTATTTAATAATATTGAATGGGAAAAATCTTACCTAGAAATGTACTTAATATGTAATTTACAATAAGAATATTCAATGTTAAAAGACACTTTGTACACGTATTAGAGAGAATAAAGTTACATGGTATGCTCAATAAACGTAATTTTTTAAGTAAGCATATTAATGCTAATTATTTGTTGAAATGTAAATATTGTACAGAGACAACAAATCGATCAATTTACAGTGACAATGAATTGATAAAGTCAATTATGTGATACTATTTTAGTAGTGCTTATTAATTAGGTATTATACGTATAATTGTTTATTGCATTCAAATGGAAATTATGAAAAACTCATAAGCGCTCATTATTACTTTAAACTGCTAAACATTATAAGTATTTTGATTTTCAGCTTTTTATATAGATATTATTGAATTGCCAGTAATATATTATTACTTAAGTATTATTCTTTTGTAGCTGTAAACGTCATCCAAGTACAAACATTTTACGCGTGTCAGCTTAACTAATATACGAAATATACGACCTAGCTATGTCATGTTCAATCTGTGTGCCTATGTTCAACAAGACTTGAAGATATTTAATCAACATATTAGGAATACCGTTAAAGTATAGCGATCCTCTAAGTAGTCTAAGCCATCTGTTGATTTATGACTGTACAATTTGAAATTTGTTAATTTCACAAATTACCATGTCCTACAGCTTGTGCGCAGGGTGTCCTAGCAAAAATATCACAAATATATTTTTCGTCTATAATGTACGCTCCCATTTACCAAGTTGTCAATGTAAACCTACTCTGTTTAATATTTGTGTAGGGAGTAAAATTTATTATTAAAATCATATCACGCCAGTCATCACATGTCAATTAACAGTATAGCCATGGTAACTAATCTCTGAGATGCATTAAATAAAAAAATTATTATTTACACTTAAGAATAGTTTTAGCAGCAGAACAACAAACAATATGCATTATGTTATTACAAAGATGGTGTAGAACTCTGAATAGGGTTTAATATACTGTATTACAATTCAATAGTTCCAATAATAAGCTTTTCTATACAAATGCTCAATAACAATTTTGAATAAATTGTATCATAAGGCCACAAGGGTGCCAAACATGTTTTTTAAAATAATAATTGTGGTTTTTTTCCACGAATGAAGATTTATTCTTGAAGAGAGCCAATAATGATTGTTTCTAACTAATACATACGAGTGTTCATTAATATTTTTTTAACAATCATGAATCGTAAAGCTTGTTGTGTGCAAAATCAGCAACTTTTTTTATTATCTATTTAGGCAAACAATTTTTTGTAAAAAAACTAGTCACTGTCCTTCGATTGTTAGCAGAACGAGAGTTATATAATACCAGATATACGAATATTAAAATAATTTAACATTATATTTTTTGCAATTATACTTCTAGCAAATAATAATAATATTGATTATGTGTATTTAGTACCTTATTAAATACCTACATTGTAATAAGATTATATTGTATATTATATTCACAATACGAAGTGTGGTCTAATGCATAGACGATGCAGAATATTGTCGAATCATAGATTTTAATAACATGCTCCGTGAATACTGGTATAAGTAAACATACCTATATATTTTATTATACTCGAGAACACGTCGTCGAAAACGCGTGGCAAATAATATGACTTTTACATTAAACGTGTCAATGAGTGCACTGTCGGTGCAATATGTCTGCGTATACTTATAAGCACTGCTCGTACAATGCGGAAGCCCCGTTCTTAATACGAACCAAACAGGAAGACGTGAAAAACGCGGAAAGTTGGTTGGTTGCTGTTTTCCTCCGCAGTCCTCGACCGACTATAATAATTTGCATGGAAGCATGTGGCACTGTGTTTATCATGATGATTTATGAACAAGTAACCATCGTTCAACTGATCTAACGAGATTGGACAACATTTAAGTCCGCGGTTAAGCCGAGTTACAAAAACTATAGTAACTTAGACAAGTATTAAAAATTACATTTTGTTACTTTCATTTTTACTATCACAATTGGTTTCATTTTTTTGAACGATTCTATTAATTGTTATTTAATTTTAGGTGTACTTAGAGTTGTTAGGATTAGTCCGATTAAAGAATCATCCATTAGGATAAACTTCGTATAGTGAGAGTTATGAGTTAATTTAACATTAATTCAATTGTCATCATTTTTGTACTTTTACATTATGAACTCAGTGCGAAGCTACTTCTTAGTATTTGGGTGTCAATCCAAGTTATTCGTAGATGTGTAACGAGTATACATCTAACTATTAAGTCAGGCAAGTCAGTCAGAAAAAAGATAATTAACTCAATAGGTAGGTAGTTAAAAAGTGAAAATGAACAGGTTATAATACATAGGTTAGATACGGTACAGGTTAGATACCGATACGGGTATGATGGTATATATTTGTGCAGATGTACGATGTACAATATAATAACGACTCAACTGTAAAGGGAAGCTGCATAGTCGAAAAAGGGTTCGACGGGTGACAGAGGAGCTGACGGTTTCGCGTGATGGTCTTCGACAATCTCGTTGTCCTGCAACCGTTCGTCGCGGTCGTCGATGACTCCACCGCCGCCAAACCTTTGCGGTCGCCAACGATCGGTCGTGCCCGACTCGGTCGCCGTGGCCGTCGTCCCAACCGACAGCTGGAGCAAGGACACCAGCAATAGCAACAGAAACAGCAACGGACCGCTGACGGCGTCGCCGATTCGCGAGAACGCGGACTTGCACCCTGTCCGGTGCATCAAGACCGCCGCCACCACCACTGAACCAACCGTGGTAGTCGACGACCAAAGTCATAGCCAGCAAAGTTCACATCGGTCGCGGCGATCGCGTCGTGGGCACGATAGCGAAAATGTATTATGAATTATGGTGTACCACGATTTTCGATTCGCGTTTCCGACGTCGGTGGTTCGGTCACTGTCACGTGTGAATAGATTACGATCTATTGCGGTTGTAGTATATTGTTATTATGTATAACATGACAACATATTTCGTTGGGTATATTACGGTCAGCGGTATGGCAAGCGAGCGAAAACTCGACCGGCCGCGAGAACGGATTTTGGGTGGTGCGCGCAAAAATTCCGTATTATTGTTATTTAACGATATATTTGCGGAATCTTATATTAACGATTTCTGTGCAATAAAAATATTAACAATATATTGTCTGAGAGAGTGTATATCGCGCGATCGAAGGTACCGGCACGACTGGTCCGCTGCAGTCTTTAGCCGATGACGGTCGCATTTAAAAACCGCCCGCGGCACTTTCACCGCGCGCGATGGATTGCGGCGGCGGCGGCGTCCGTTGGGATCGCGAGTGTGCTGTTTCTGTTCGTTTGTTGTTTTTTTTTTCATTTAAATTTGGGATTTTGGCACCGGACGACAGTGAAAGTGGATATAGGTAGGTACTTTTTTTCCCCATTATCTTTAATCTCTTTTCGTGGATCACGTACCCATATCGTAGGTTACTAATCGTCGCGTTTGTCCCCGCCAGTTTTCCATTTTTCCGTCAGCGCGACTCTACGCAAAACGATGTACCTATTTATTGCAATATGAGTACAACTAGGCCGCGGAAAAAAAGTAAAACCATACGATAATCGCCCGCATCGGCCGACTTTTCGGTTTCGAGATTTTCGGAGGCCTTGCGCGCAATTGACCCGCGAGAATTAGTCGAATATTCACATGCTCGTGGTTATGTAGCTATTATTATCTGGTAGGCATGTACAGGTGGGTAGTTATAATGTTATATACCTACCTAGCTGCTAGATGATAATTATTTATCTATTTCGAATGAGCGTGCAGCTGAGTCGCCCGGAGCACTGAGACTGAATGTTATTATATTTTAAGATATACGACAGGCCTGTTATCGAGTTTTTCGTTCCGGTCCCCGTCGTAGTACGGTCGTTTAGTTGTTACCTATTAATATTAAATAGATTCGACTATTCGAGCATATATAAGATATGGTATTTTTGATGTGATTTACGAGAACACTAAAGGTCATATGAACTTGTTTTTCAAAATATGCAGACCCCGTGATTATGTGTCAATTTTCACTCAAGCAGACGTTCGAAAAAAAGTAGATGTGGCCAATTAAATTTGCCTGTTGTTGTAAATTGTAATAATGATGAAATAAAGGCTAATTCAAGTTTATTGCAGCCTCCTAGTCCTACAAAAAACAAACAAATTTAGTTTATATTTAATAGTATAAGGTAAGAATAAGAGTAGATATATTATTAGGTACGGTATATATACAATAATATGTAATGTAATAATAATAATGTATAGGTACATACATAATAAGTGGCCGCAGTTATTACAAGCTGTTACGTAATATGAGATACTTTTTTTGCTTCGAAAAGAAATGTGTTTGGTGTAAAATGAAAGTTAATATCCGGACTATCTATAGAGAAGTGGCTACATAAATCTGCATTCGGTTTTCAGAAGCTTTATGATTGCGGTGATTGCGAAATCTATTTTTACATACTTACCTACTACGGTTATAAATGCTCAAAATATTATTATGATGACCACCGGATACCACCGAACGTGTGTATGTAACAGTGTCTGGTTGTGGATATAGGCACCTATAATAATATGTTACTATTAGTAATAATATACTAATATTATTAAGTTGGTTCCTGTTATAAGTAATAATCGAATTAATGCCATTTTTGCATTTTGTCGTCTTCTAAAAACTGTACGACTTTTGTCCCATTTAAATATTTAATCATTTCGCTACATTTATTATACTGATACAGGTGTGTGGTCCGTGATCGTCGTCGGAGTCTGTATACTTATAATATTGTGATAGATTTAAACGGAATCAAGACGTGTCTCGCATGTAGTTGGCGAGATATGCCTCGTGAATCCGTGGCACAACATCAAAATAGTAAAAAGAAACGAATAAAGATGGATGCTCACGACATTCTATATGTGTAGACGGGACGCGCATAGGCTATGCGCCCTACGTGTTATTGCTAATATGTGTTATCCTAAGTACATAAAAATTTAAACGTCGAACGTTTGAATGTGCATTGTTATACGCTCAAACTTAAAATATAATGATATTACCTAGTAACTCGCGTTTTCTTACGTCATAGGAACACGACGAATTTAAAAACTGTCTTTACTTGCAAAAGAAAGGGAACAGAACGCATTTATTTTTACCAATATAATAAATTTAAAAAATGGTTGTCATTGGAGTATATCGCACGTATATGATGATACAATAAAATCACATAAAATATAATACAATTATTAAGTATAGTCGTATTTAAATTTATGGTTACTTTCGATGTTTGGATATATTATAGGTATATACAACTTCAAAAGTAAAAGCACTTTCAGTGGATTTCAGATTTTACTCTTAAAGTGAATTGTCAAGGATTCGAAGGTTCACGTTGTGAATTTGTGATTGTTTAATTTTCTTATTAGGTCAGTATTAGTTTAAGGTTGATCACATGATCTATAGAACCATAAACAGCTTAAACTAAAATATAAATGAATAATTTGATTTTACAGAACATTATTTCACTACGTTACACGTCTTGTAATTGCATAAAATATGAGACTATGTTTATAACAAATATATACTTATGTATTAAAGCGCTGAGTAGTGGCATGTGACATAATTTAAAGCTGCAGACACAATCTGAATGTATAAATACTATAATGCGTTGCTTCTAAACTATATTAATAAGTTAACATTTTAATATGATATAAACTACAAAGGAATACAAATTATAAATTAGTAAATATAATTATGAAAATAACACAGACAACGTTCTATAATTTCAAGGTACTTGATTTATTTCAGATATCCTTTTGAATTATCAATTACATAATGTTTTATATTTTGACAACTATGCACAATATGACTCTTATGATGAGTTACATTTTATATTCAAAGGTTGACCGAAATTCAAATAACCGATACCTTTATAAATAAATAATATTTACTTCGTGTCCAAACTGGTAAACGGAATGATATCTTGTTCTGAGCTTCTGGATGTAGTATAGTTTCACGTCTCTCAATTATACTGGTCAAGTGGTATCGTTCCTGTCCTACCTTCTCTATAAAACACCACCAAAAAATCATATGGGCTAACCTAACCGCACTGCACGCACATACAATCGATTGGAAAACGTCGACATATTCAATATAAAAAGCCTGTCATAACGTCATCCCTAAAATTATAAATTTATATATATTCCTTTTTTCATGTATCATATTATTTCATCGCAAATGTTAATATACCTAATTCAGTAATGTAATATTAATATTTTCTTTATATCTAACTAAATACTAACTGTTAATTTATGTATTCGTATGTTGTACTCGAGCCCAAAACTTTAACAAATAAATAAATAATGGTACCGATTCGTTTACCACACCGTCTATTTAATTTACCAATACCTAAATATCTTTCGTATCTTGTGCTAAATTATAAACACCATACACGCGTATCAACATACTGACCAATAGAAGTGTAAAATAATTAAAATAAACGTACGCTACAAAATTCTGGTTGAACATTCAATACCTTGACACCCCCCCCCCTGGCTACGGTCTTGGATATACCTCTATATGAACATTTATTATGTAATTTAAGATTTTTTTTGTTTAAAAATATTAAAGATACATAGGCATGAGATTATGTTTTTATTTAAAGTTGACAAAATTCGCCAAAATCTCGAACTTTTGCAAATAATTTTACGTGCGTGAAGTTGCCCCCCCCCCTCTACACTTTAATCCAGGAATTAAGAATTTGACGGCCCATCTTTATTCACATTTGAACCTGCTATCAAACATTTCTGTTCAACTTGGATTTTAAATTAAAGATATTTATTATTTATTTTAGATTTTTTTATTAATTTACATTTTTTATTAATTATGGATTTTTATTATTACATGTTTTATTAATTTAAGTTAATTTATTAATAAACATTTTTTTTTATTAATTTAGGCATTTTATCCAATTCAGAATATTCTTTATTAATTTTAGATTTTATATTAATTTATGCTTTTTATAAGTATTATATTTTTTTATTAATTGAGAATTTTTATTAAATTTTTTATTATATTAGACTTTTTATTTAATATAGACTATTTCTTATTCATTTTGGTTTTTATTAATATTACATTTTTAGTAATTTAGGTTCATTTAGTAATATCACATTTTTTTTTTAATTTGGGATTTTTATTTAATCAAGAATATTTTTTATTCAAATTACATTTTGACTGTTAAAATATAGATTTTTGTCCTCAACTTGACTTTTTAATGAAATAAAATTTACAATTCATCGTCTTTTTTATTCCAGTTTTATCGTTTTATTAAATATCGAATCTTTTTTTTTTATTTATTCAATTTAGATTAATTTCTCAAACATAGATTTTTATCTAATTAGATTAAAAAAATGCAGAATAAATCTAGAAAAGAAGTTCAATAAAAAAAAATTCAATAAAAAATCCTAAATTAATAAGTGTATAGTTTTAAAAAAATATTCTTAATTAAATAAAAAAAACCTAAATGAGTAAAAAAAAAGTCTACAGTTTATAAAAAAAAATATTTTTTATCGAATAAAAATGCCAAAATTAATATAAAAAAGTATGTAAGTAAGTAAGTAAAGCTGGTGACGGAGTACCGGTTGCGGGGTCTATGGCTGAGCGGTGAGTCGAAGAAGTGATGCTTGGCGATGGCTATGGCGGTGCTAGAAGTCTATATTTTATACTACTGTCATAAATGGTTATAACATCAATTAATGACTTATCAAAAAGAAAGAGCAAAAAAAGATGTAAGAAGAAATAATTAATATAAGATGAAATAATTATGTTCGTTTACAGTAAGGTTTAGGAACAAATTAGAAGCTTACACATGTACATATTTCAATATCATATTATAATTATCATTTATTAATATGTTTATTTATTGACCTATTTGACATAGAAAATTCTCCATATGTTATCACTTATCAGTTATCAATCATCACTCATCGTTTTCTACTGTTTAGTTGACTTTTATTATTTTTTGATCCGAAACAAGAACCACAACCACATAATATTATTTTTAAGGAACCAAAATCATAACTAAAACTCTACAATATTATTTTCATGATACCCAATTTAGAACCAGAACCTTAAAATATAATTCTTTAACACCGGACAGAACCGAAACAGCCCCTGTCTGACGAAATTAAACTTAATAAAG